GCCACCTTTTCTGCATCTCGAATTTGCATTTTGTTTGCGCAGTATAAGACTGTTGGATTGTGATCGCTGGCACCAAAGCTAGGAATCGACTGGTACAAAGAATATGTTCAGGAAGTGAAATATTATCACTGTTATGAAGTGTGAATCTGCTTAGTCAGGTATGTAAGCTCATATTTATAAAGCTCTCTTGAAAAGCCCTAATTCTAATACATTTTACACTTTCTCTAGTAATTTTTATCAGCATCATAACCTCTATAATATTCTCCTCGCCCGGCGAAATACCTATAAACTCGATCGATAGTCCAGGGCGCGTTGTTGTCGGTTACTCCACGGTTGCATTGAGTGTCGCTTGCGTTTTTCAATTTCAGTACCAAAGTACAAATACGATATGCGAGAAAAACAAAGAAGGGTGATATTATTTTTTCAATTATTGAACTATTTCCTCTGCTGGTTCGCTTCTCGCCTCTGAAATATTTTAATACTTTGTGAAAAATACACTGGAGTTATCCGCTGACCACCACGCTGGGTGACCGCTTTGCAAGTTGTGAGAACATCGTCTCTCGGTCCCAGACTCCCTGGCTCAACCTTTGTTTTTAATTTCTCCTGGGAATTACAGTCGCCGCAAGGGAGACCGAAGACAATGCTATAATTATGGGGGGGAGGGGGGGAGGGGGCAAACAAGGTGTATTATGACAAATGGTGAATTCCCATCCTTCAATGGTTATAAATGTATGCTCGTCAAAGTGACTTTTAATTATTTACTAGGTGTCTTGGCCTGCACGGTATGTCCGTAGAAGCAAAACTGATGTTTCGTAAGAACAGATGTTCAAAGAATCAGTTTACTCATGTCGTTCATGACTGAAATCGAAAAGAGTCTTTTTGACTTTAAGCTGCTGTAGCAATTTCAAGACTTGTACGATCCAACTGGAGTGTTAAATGAGTCAATTCTGCTAATTATAATAAGTTACGGCCCGTAAAAGTTAAGTGGAGTACAGCATGTTAGTATCTTTATTCGTGGGTAATATCAATGGCATTTTCTCGGAGCTATTTTAGTTTTTGGCGTGTATGTGTCAACCAAGCCAGAATGAAGCTACAATCCTTGATTAACAAAAATGGCCCTTAAGGAGCATCGGGGATTGGGTGCCTGCCCTTCCCCTTCCCCTTAAATGGCCCTTCAAATTTTTTTAGCACGTCGCTTTGTGACTGAAAGGGCTAAGGATGGCACACAACATTTATCTAACAGCAAAAAGATTATTAAAATTAACTGATTCCATAACCCTTTACCTCTCAACAATAAAAACATTACTTGATCTCAAGTTTATTTACATTTGCCTCCAAAGAGCTTTATCAGAAATCAAGTGGCCTGGAAGGGAGAGAATTGAGGAAATTTTAACCGAAAGGAAACAAAAACAGTGTCAACCTTGAGAAAAGCTTGGAATCCCATAAGCTACCAGGTCATTGAATTTTAGATCCATTCGGATTTTAAATTTTGCGATTAAAATTTTAAAAGAAGACAGCCTATTAAAAGCTGAGGAAATTGTTTCCAATCAGTCACTGCCTCAAGATATTTATGCACTGGCTCTTTAAAAAAATTCGCGAAAAAGAATTCATTCAACTATGCGGTTTTTGTTTGCATAAAAAGTGGCGTTTCTCATTTCATTAAGTCCTCAGAGACCTATAAAAGTAATTTCCGTGACTAACCTAACAGCTTGTTTTATGACTTTTTACCAGTAAGAGAATTTGTATGGTTTAATCAGCTTCGTAAAAGCTTACACCAACAAGTATGCCATCGGCTTTGTTTATTCACCACTCTTAAATGAATAGACCTTTTAAAGGCTTATAGCAAATACCGTAAATCCTCTATTAAGCCCCCCGGGGGGCTTATTTTTTTCAAGCACTTTTGAGGGGGGGGGCTTAATAGAGAGGGGGGGGGGCTTATTTAATTTAGCAAAACGCATCACCTGTAGCAAAAATACCGTGGTATGAGACAGAGTAGACTTACGCGTTGTACAATTAAAGTCACTGTCAAAAGTATTTATTTCACTTGTGGGAACCTAAAAGTAACAAAAACAAAATTCTTATTCTTCAAACAATGTTCTCCACAGAGAACTAGAGCGCAAAGTTGAGAAAGTTAAGCATATGAAGTTGGAGGTCATGCGGCCAAAGACCAAAAACAACATGAACTTTCAGCCTGAATAAACCATAACTGATCAGTCCACGTTAATCGTTAATTTTTTCTGTGAAGAATAAGGATTGGGGGAGGGGGAGGGGGGGGGGGGGCTTATTGGGGAAGGGGGGCTTTTTTGAGGGGGGGGGCTAAATAGGGGATTAACGGTAGCAGAATACAGTATTCTAAGTAGACTAAGGTTTGCAATTGTTTACTACATTTAGTATTTTAAAATTACCGGTAAAAAATTAATGAATGAGTGTACAACAAGTATGTAAGGGGGGTAGGTGGTGTCGCGGTCGCGTACGGTTGCCTGTCACGGGTGGTGAGGGTGAGGCGGCGGGTGATCTAAGACTTGGTGCCTTGTGCGGTGGTTGTGGGTGGGGATGGTAAGTCTACGGTAGGGGCTTGTGTTGGGTGGGGGGGGGACGCGGTGCAACTGGTGGTGGGGGTGTTGATTTGAGAGGGGGGGCTAAATAGAGGATTTACGGTAGCAGAATACAGTATTCTAAGTAGACTAACGTTTGCAATTGTTTACTACATTTAGTATATTAAAAGTACCGGTAAAAAAGTAATGAATGAGTGTACAACACGTATTTCGAGAAAGAAAGTAAATGATAGGATGGGAATAGCCAAGTTTCGACTTTCTACTTCTTTTGTGTGAGCCTCCAAGCTATAAAGCAATTTAAACGCTATAATAGTGTTTGCTAGCTGTTTAAAGATTTATTATGAAGCATTATGTTCATGGCCATGGTAATGTACGATTAAATAATTAATAGTTGAAAGTTGAAAGTTTACCGAACAGTTTGAAGTGTTTCAATACAAGGACTGTAGACTTGTCGGCGCCGGCCATGAAACAAAAAAAAATGCAGCTGGTGAATAAGAAAAAAAAATGTCATTAATTGACTCTTTCATACATCTTTGCTCATTTGTTCTATACTAAGTGGTAAAGGTCGGGAAAGTTCGCTAAAGAAAAAGAAAAACGCCGAAAGGTTTGACCAAAGCTGGTTGACTTTTTACAATTCTAATAATCAGTTCTCTCCTCAGTTTTGCCTTAGAAATTTTCTGTTTTTTCAGGACTTCTTTGATATCCAGGCTTCAGAAAAAAAAATACCGTTTAAATAGGCCCTAATAAAAACAACAACAACAACAACAAACAAACCACTGCAAACAAAAAACATTGAAGGCTACTGAGGGATTCCTGAACTTATTACGTTTAAGCCCTCCTTATATTCTTTTCGAAACAAGTTCGTTATGCAAAAAGCAACTGAGAAATAACTGCTTATAACAAATTGGGGATTTGGACAATAAAACAGCGAGTTATTTGAAGTCAAGTTTTTTACATGCAGAAAGGCTAGTCAGAGACTAATACACCACTATAGACAAGCAGCAAGCGCCGATAAAAGCTTGCTTTCCTTAACTGAAATATCTCTTATTCGTTAAATACATCGCGGTAAGATGACTGTAAAAGACAAGTTAACAAAGTCGATGTTCTATATGATACTATAAAAAAAAATACTTTTTTCGAATTTCACTCGAGAAGTACACAACAAACTAATATCTTTGATTCGTCATTTCTTAGCCAAATTTATTATAACTTTCACGATGACACATTATTGATCGTTGATTTTCAAATTGGCATAAGCGTGGCGAAGATTGGGAGACGTCAAAAGTTTCCTTCAAGAGAATACTAGATCAATAAAGCCTCCGATTTCGTTCTTTTTCTGTTCAAATGCACCTATTTCTTGCCTAAAGGCTCAAGTATGAATTTGCGAGAATTTCTTTGCAAAGGCTATAAATTTGGTTTTGGTTTAAGCAATTGGTACTCTCTAACACCCAGGACGAATTAGATAAGACACGCTATAATCTATCGTGGAATCAGAATACTCGGCAGTATTTTATCAAAAAAATCTGAATCGAAAGATTTTTCAGGTTATTCGAGTATGTATTTCCCGTCTCAGTTCTATTAAGTGTTACGTTGTGCGTGACGCCATTCAAAATGACGAACTATTCAGAAACATTTTATTTTACTCGTTCTTCGAGCAGCCGAGCAGGTGTGAAATATGTTGGCAATTATACAATCACCTTATTGGGGTGTACACATTCTGCGTGAATAAAACATTAAGTCCTCTCAGTCCTGTCTAACAAGTAGCCTGAGGATTCCTGAACTGTAATTTTGCTTTAAGGCCGCCTTCAACTGAAAGTTCGCATTTGCAGTAACTGAGACTCCTAAGAAAACTTTTCTTAAGAAGTTGATAAAGATTTGGAAACTAATACACAGTCGACCAGCGACATATTCGGAGGTGCGTTAATTGTTTGAGTTTGTTTGCGTTGCCTGAAGGCTTCAGTGTTCGGATTTCTTCAAAGAATTCCATACTATGTTAATTTCCTAGAGATGTACGCCCAATTGCCATAACTTTGTCTTGGAAAAATGCTAAAAGGAAAAATGAAAAAAAAAATGGAAAAAGCCAAATAAGAATTAATTAGGCTTACTAAATAAAAAAAGAACACTATAGGGTGCATTAACTTGTAGCACAGACTATTTTAAGGCGTTGAAACAAATGGAAATACGACAGCTGTTCGCGTATGTTGCAAATGAATGCTTCCTATATTGCTCTTGATAGTGGTTTATCATGGTGAGCCTAATTTATTTGTAATTAATTCAGTTTTTCCTTTTAGCATTTTCTATGCCATTAATGTTATTGCAATTAGGTGTAGTAGTGCTCCTACAAAATTAACTAATATACCATACAATAGCTGCTAGTGATAAAAGCTTACAACGCTTTATTACTGAACGCTCTGACATTCGTTGACCTGCATACATTGCAGTAAAATGGCAGTGAGAAACTTTACCAAAGATATCAACCAGAAGGAAATAGAAGAACTGCTTTGTTCGTCCCAAATGAATATCACGGGAGAAGTACACAACCAACTAATCTTTCTCTCAGTTTTTAACACCTTTTTATCCTGTACTGCAATTCTCGGTAACACCTTGATCCTTGTTGCCCTTCGCAGAGAGTCCTCGATCGGTTCGTCGTCCAAACTCCTGTATCGCAGTCTAGCGATTTCTGACCTCTGTGTTGGTGTCATGGCAGAGCCTGCAGATATTGTTTATTTGATGTCTGTGGTGAACAGCAAAAATAATATTTGCTCTTATGCCAACGCAGTAAGCTTTTTCACCGGCTACATTTTGTGCTCAGTGTCCTTGGCTACTTTGACTTCAATAAGCGTGGACAGGCTTCTTGCCCTTTTGCTTGGGTTGAGGTACAGACAAATTGTAACTTTGAAAAGAACATATATAGCGATTGATGGATTGTGGATTTCATCCATTGCCGGCACGTCAGTTTTCTATTGGTATCCTGCCGCAGGCGCATGGCTTCTTTACATATGTTTACCTCTCTGTCTCGTCATCACAGCTTCTGTTTACACAAAAATTTTCCTCACTCTGCGTCGTAACCAAATTCAAGTACAGAGTCACGTGTCCCAAGCAATTCCAAACCAGGCGTCTCCACTGAACATAGCTCGATACAGAAGAGCAGTTACAAGTGCTTTGTGGATACAGTTCACATTGGTTGTTTGTTATCTGCCGTATGGTTTAGCAGTTGCTTTAACACCTCAAACATGGTTTTCCTTATCTTTTTACCTCGCTAGGCAATTTACAGTAACTTTAGCTTACTTGAACTCGTCCTTGAATCCGCTACTTTACTGTTGGAAGATCAAAGAAATAAGGCGAGCAGTGAAAGACACCATAATACAAATATTTTGCTCATCTTATTAGCGGTATCAGCAAGTGAAACCTCGGCTTCGCAAGGCCTTCGGCGTCGCTTCGCGAGGAATCATCTACTTTATGCTAACTGCCATGAAAACGTCTCTAGGAACAGGTTTATAACGGTCACGATGACAAATTGTTGATCATAGTTACTATATGTAAACGATCATTTATTCCATCACATTGACTATTTTTCTTAAACTATTGACTTTGATACTGGTATAAAACCTTGTAAACGTAATGAATACATGTAACCCAAAAGTACCAAATACTAAGTCAATGAAGTCAAGACTTCGCCTCTTATCAGCTTTTTCTTGATCGAATGCAGTTTTTACGAGCCTAAAGGTGCTATAACGAATTTTATTTATTGCCATTAGGCTATTAACCCTGGTGTAATAGCTTAGTATAGATAATAGCACATACTAATTAGCAGCATAAATTCGTGCTCCGTAACACCAAGTAACAACCACCCTTGCTCTAAGGATAATATATAGATTTAGCCAAGGTGAGCGGGAGCTCCGCTATTAGACATGAGCACAAAAAAATTCTCTAGTTTACCGCATTTTTCATTTGTTAATATTTTCTAAAAGCAAATTATGAGAAAAAGCCAGGATGGTGGCCATTTCATTAGGCAGAGTGTAGTTGGTTTGTAAATCACTTCTTAATGCAGCGAATCACCCAAAAATGTTAAATACGCAGCGTGAACCTTTTTGTTTCCCATCTCCTGACTCGCCCCCTGTCGTCTCTCAGTCTCCTATTAGAAAAGTGCGGTCAAGGCGATGGCAAGAGGTGTAGGGAAGGAAGAAAGAGGGATGATGTTTCCTTCTTCCCATCACCCCTTGCGCTCCCTTCGGTCCCGTCTTCGGTTTGCGATCCAAATAGAGCCGAGTTAGCTCCTCCCCTACATCCTCGGCCAACACTAGCTCGGTGCACACGACATTTCCTATTTGAAAGAGTGGGCCAGTAAATTTTGAATAAGGACATTTTTTTCCTGTCCAGTCCATTAACCTAACACTTTTTTTCGGTTTCTCAATAATGGGCCCTATATAAAAGGCAGCACTTTTCATCCCAATTAAATTTTGTGAAAAGCTCTATTGAATCCCAAGATGACTTCAAGGGCAGAGGACAGGTGTATTCCTCTTTTTGTGCTTGTTTTGTACGTATCTTGCATATAGGAATTGTTTATTATGCCGCATTAGAAGCCCTTACATAGAGTGCTGCTTTGAATTGTCCGTCCTGATTGTTTCTGTCAGTTTTTTTTTTTTTACAGATTTGACGAGTATAGGTGGGAAAAGTGGGTTAATATTGCTTTATTTCAAGTAAAATGGGTGTGAAGATAATTTTTGAGAACGGGGACGGTTTTGATTTATTTCTGAAACAACATAATAACATCTAAATGGGAAGGTTTATATCAGCTCAAGAATCATATTCCGGCGATTTTTACGTCAGTCGCTTCAAATACTCTAGTTAGGGAAATGTGATTATTGAAACTAAGTGTTGACAACAATAGATAGCCTAGTTTTGATAAGTATCAGTCAATATTCCGTTATCTCCCTTCATTAAAGAAAAAGTTAATCAAAGCTCTTGGTCACTGCGCCAAGAGCACCAATGACAAAAGAACCATATAGAATCCATCCATGGTTGTCAAAACCTTCTTATCATACTTTTATATCTATTATAAGGGAGCACTGTAAGCGAAGAGATCTTCGTTCAATGGACAGCAGGTGAGGCTAGCTCTTATGAAGTACGCCTGATTAGCGCAAAGCCTTCCAAAGGCGAGAATCATTACATAGTTGCCTGTAATTTAAATTTTTTAGCACAAATATTCATTTATGGGTCTTTTTTATTCTGATTTGTTAAGGTTTTCATTTAATTGCATTAAAATGTAAGTATTTTTTCCCCTCAAACTCCTGTTCATGCCATTAAAAGCTTTTCGTGCCATTTAGCCCTCAAGTTGATCATTTCTTAATGATCTGATCAACTTCAATTCGAAAACCACTCAGCTCAAGACAATAGAAAGATAGAAAAAATATGGAAATAAAATCAGTGAGGCTTTTATTGTTGTGTTAAACCTGCTTTATAGGTAGTATTGCTTACTTGCTTTACTTAAGTTAAGCGGCTTTAGTACAGAGCCATTTAACTTTGGCGGCTTGAGAGAGGGTAAGTCCATTTGCGTTTGACAAGCATCGACTCAGTATCGTGTACCAAAGGCCACATCGCCAAAAAAGTTTCTCTTAAAATGATAACTGATTTCTTAGCTGGTTGAACTGTACTGGACATTTCGCCGCCAGAATAGCCTGATTTTGACGCCGACTTTTTCATCACAGCATGACAAGAAAAAAGATCTTCTTCTGTCTATACCAGTAAACCTGATAAGATGTTAGCAAACAATTCTCTGAAAGTTACTAACACAACGGAACCTGATTTATCTTGCGACCGGACCGGCTTAGAGATAACATTCATGGTACTGGATATCACTGCAAGTGCGATTATACTCTTCGGAAACTTCCTGGTGTTTGTAGCCATACTAACCAGCCTCACCCTTCGGCCGCACCCCATGAACCAATTTCTGGCTTCGTTGGCAGTGAGTGATATGATCATGGGCGCATTCGTTTCTCCCGTCTACTCTTTGTTCTGTATAGGCTGTCTTGAGTATTCCTTAAGCAAGTACTGCTGGCTCCTTGAAAGTGCAAAAGATCTCGCTCTTGCGTCAAGTATCTTAAATCTACTGGCTATTTCCTACGACCGCTGCTGTGCGGTGTATTATCCTCTACAATACCAAATTCTGATGACCAAGAAAAGAGTTTACTCCATTATTTGCTTTATCTGGGGAATGACCTTTTTTATTGCTGGAATTCGCCACTCTTGGATACACACAAAAACAGGAACTGAATTGCATACCATCAACAGTCTTTACAACATCTTGCTGATTTTGTTCATTTTTTTTCTCCCGTGCATAATAATCACTGTGATAAACCTTAAGATCATAATGACCATCAGGAATCAGGCACGACAGGTCTTCTCATTAAAAAACATGCATAGGCAAGATGCAGAGGTTGCCAACCAAGATGATATCCAAGAAGAAGTGACCCGAAAGCGAAAGGGCACCTTTGCATGTGCTTTGGTTGTCCTGGTATTTGTGGTTTCATGGATTCCACGTGTCAGCTTCAACATCCAGTACAAATTAAAAGGCGACCTTGGAGGGGTTAATATCCTTCTGCAGAAATTGTCCATCTTTTTCTTAACTGTCCAGTCATCGGTAAATCCAATTATTTATTCCCTTTACAGATCTGATTTCCGTGAAGCTGTTGTTAAGCTGCTCAAATGTAACACAAACTAAAACAGCCCAAAAAATCTTGCTCCTCAGTCCCATGGAAAGCTTAGTACGGGAATTCCAGTTACCTATTTTTCGGTCTTTAACAAGGTGTTGCTTTTATTAGTCAATGTAGAGCATTTTAATATCAATTAATGGCACATAGTCAGAAAGCCTAAATTGAACATGAGTTGAATGGCTTCTATCAATTTTAAACCATACTGAACGTCGGGTCAAAGACTTTGCTGATATATGATAGATGACTTGAACTTGTTTAATCTATACATACTCTTCTATACTAAAACGTGTTTCATTTGGGCCGTTTATACGAGGAAAAATAAGACGCGTCTTACATAGGACGCGTCTTAAATAAGACGCGAACTTTCCGTATAAACGGCACATTTCGTCTAAAATAAGACGCGGCTTAGCTAAGACGCGTCTTATTTTAGAACAGCCCTTAACAACTGTTCTTAGATAAGACGTGTCTTAGCTAAGACGAGAAAAACTTCGTATAAATGACCTTCGCGTCTTATATAAGACGCGAACGCATAGTACGCATGCGTTAATTTTTGGCTCGCAACGTTGGATTGCCGTTGCTACGGGCAACATTCACATGAAAACGAGTCAAGAACAGAAATGAGACGTGAACCATTTATACGAGCTGTTCACGTCTTAGATAAGACATGCTCGTATAAATGGTACAGTTCGCGTCTTATTTTTCCTCGTATAAATGGCCCTGTTATCTCTGTAAAGCCCCTTGAGGAATCAGAAATAAATCTTGGACTCCGACAGTGGATCTTTAACTGCGTTAAAACTTCTCTATGAATGTTTATCTTATGCAAAGGTTAACAAATCAACTGTATTTCAAATAAAGAAATGTCTATTGAGTTTTCTGCGTAAACGGATGTTTAAAAGTTGTAAAATAGATTAAAATAGATTCCTCGTAAGAGGATGGTTTTTTAAAAGGCATTCGCGCGCTTAGCGCCCACGGCTGGGATTCGAGAGAAAGCTCGGTTATCAAGACTAAACTGCAGTATTTGTATTGTAACAGATTTCAGGATTTTTCCAGTCTTAAAACATACAGGGGGAGTCTACAGTAACGACCAGAAAGGACAAAAGACTTCTTCAATATGAGCAATTCAACTTTATTCGACCTGCTTAGTCCATATTTACGTTTTTATTATTAAACAACGAGGAGTTTATTAAATTTGTAGTGTTTCCGAACCGGCGTTTATTCAAGGGCAAGCCGTTTATTCTTAAAATCACTGACAACAATAATCACAATCGATGCACCATTTGTAAATATTATGTAATTAAAACAGGAAAATCTTTAAGTTCCATTATCAAGCCTTTTTTGCTAAGGTAGAATCGTTATTGTCAGGGTGGTGTAGATTAGAAAGTTGCAGCTAATTGTTTCTTGTAATTCTCGAATAAACGCCGCTTCGACTGTTTCGGTACGAAGTTAAATCGAGGACGGCGTTTAATCGAGTAAATACGGTACTCAGTTTCCAAACCCTAATCACTTACTCAAGAAATCTTTTTGCACAATAACCCTGAATAACTCAGTTATTTAATAATCATGAAATACTTAAACTTAAGCTTTTTAAAAAATTACTTTAAAAAGAGACAACGTTTATAGGTTATGTTTAGGTTTGCCTGTCCGAATCAGTAATGCTTGTGTTGTTGAGAGTCTCTTTCTCCTCAAAAGCTCTCTATTAAACCTATCACTGGATGTTTTCTCGTAGCGCCGTTTCTATTATTTTCCTTTTTCCAACCTTCTATAAGCAAAATAGCCACAACCGTTGAATATAGCACGCAGTTTGCGACCCATAGATATCCGAGAAGCCTTCAACTCGACATATAGAGTTCTGGTCCATTAAAACAGCCACGGTTTTTATGCTAAACCCTTTTCCGTTCAAGACATTTTTAGATAGCATTTAAAGTTGAATTTCCAAGCGTGAACCCCTTCATCTAGCCAGTTGCCATGGTTACGTTGGTTGGTCGATGTTGGTTATCGTCTTCAATTTATTAACTTTAGTAAGCTTATGAAAATGAAAGAATACTGATGAAAAGTGCCATTTTTAAGTGAGGGTAAGATGCTTAAATTACTGAGACATCGTTGGTTAAAATGAAGATACAACAAGTTTGTTTCATTACTCTGGAACCTACATGCGACTTGTCTTTATCGATCTTGAAGAAAATTACATGTTAGCCACGTTTAACCTAACCTTTATTAAAGTAAAAACTTTGTTTACCAAAGTTAGGTTTTTAATTTATTTTCCCTTTCGTTTTTAACTTGTGGATTATGCATAGCGTAAGGTACAAGTTATTGTGGGTACTGCGATATGCAAATGTTCACTTGGGTGTAGACAAATTTGTAATTAGTCGGCTCCGCACGAAAGCGCCCGATATCAAAACGACAACTGTCGTAGATCGCTCCCGTTCCGCCATCAAGAAGAGCTGAACGTGCATTGTGTTCAAAGCTTTTGATGTTATTATTTTGTACATTTCACAGGACGATAAGTTCTCTTCAGTTATATGTAGACTTTGAATGTTTAAAATTAGCGCTATGGCCAACTTTGGGACAGGAGTTTATGAACTTTTGAAGCTTTTTGACCCGTCCAGGCGATAAACATGACAAAAAATATCAGCAATTGCATTGCTCTGCGACTCCCAAGCTGGTCCAAGCTCACGATTCTCACGATTTTTCAACCTTTCTCACGACAAGACTCCCAATCTCATCGTTTGTAGTGAAATATCATTCCGAAATGAAATGTTTCTTTGTCTAATTAAAACGGAAATATTTACTGTTGTTGAATCAAAATTGATTCTCCTCATGTAAATGTTGAAAATTTCAAGCTGTATAAGGCCGTCTACCAGCTTCAAGCAGCGTCTACCGGTAGAATTTCATGGGCAAAAAATGTTAAATATAATTAATTTAACAGATTTACTTAGATTTGTTTAACGTTAACTGTCGTGGCGCATATTGACATACGCGTTGACCTCACACTTTGAAGTCCGTGGTTCGACTCCCGCCGGAGGAGACTTTTTTTTCCTTTTGTTTGGTCGGTTTGTTTTGCTTTGTTTTTTTTTTTTTGACAGACTTTAAATATACCGGTAGACTAATCGCAGGTTCATTCTCAGCTTTCATTTCTAAAATAATTAATCCACAAGTTATCCATAGGCACCCTTTGATTGTTAGTTTTACAGCTGGGGCAGCGTTTGAATTTATCATAACAAAACCGCACTGGAAAAACGAAAACCTTAGTTTACAATTTTTATCTGCGTTTTTATCACGGCTGGTTGTTATTTATTTTTGCTAAGTTGCAGGTTTTCTTTAACAAGGTGATACTGAAAGATAGTTACGCTTTTCGTCTTTCACTTTTAGGTTAAAAAGTTTAGAGTATCACTGGTAAATCAGTAAAATTCAGATAAATCAGCATGAACTTAAACAAATTTTAAAAACGGGTACTTTCTGATCTTACATGTCACTGACTTCTTGGGTAATTTAGTTTCAGTAGATAAGGGAGATTTTCAATATCATGCACACGACTTCAACACGGTACTCAACCAACAGCCGGGTTCTCTTAATTAAATTGTGCCTTTTTAAAGGTGCCAATTCTTTGACCTGGATTATTGCCCCTGTTATGATAAAATGAGCCTTTAAATTTTGATGCCCCCTTGTGTTTGCCTTGAAGATATATAAATTATCTCTGACCTTAAAAACCTAATGTTTCCGACGCGGTTAAGTAAATTCAATCAGCGCTGCCATCTACCGCAGTCACAGCGAAGCAGATGGATATGGCAGACTCCAATGAAACAAAACCTGATCTAAAGTGCAGCCACGCTCTTGAACTAACCTTTTGGATTCTCTATGGATGTGTCGGTGTTGTGACATTCACAGGGAACAGCTTCACCTTTCTTGTTTTTGTTACATCAAAGAGGCTGCGACAAAGCTACATGAACGTATTTTTACTCAGCCTTGCAGTCGCTGATATAATGATGTCCACGTTTGTTGTTCCATATAACGTGCTCTGCAATGGTTGCTCGGAAAGCGCACCTCAATTTTGCTGGCTTATGGCTGGTCTTAAGGACATTGCTTTGGGTGGAACGGTATTTAATTTAGCCGCAATATCGCTGGACAGATTTCTGGCGGTAATAAGACCTTTACATTATCACAACGACATGACTAACACTCGAGTGATCTACATTTTACTCGGCGTCTGGTCTTTTAATTTTATCCTAGCTGCCATACGGAATACCTGGTTACATACAACTTCACCAGAAGAAGCACTAAGAAGGGACAAGATTTACAACAGCATTTTAATTTTCGCCTTTGCCCTTTTACCTCTCCTTGTTATGATAGTAATGAATGCAAAAATAATCCAGGCTATTCGTAGGCAAAATAGACTGGTTCGCCAAGAAACAATCAGGGGAAACACTGAAGAAGGAAATCGAGGTTCTCGACTTGCAAGAGAAAGAAGCAGGGCTCGAAGAGGAACTATAGCCTGTGTATTTGTCGTGTCCATCTTTTTTGTTAGCTGGCTACCACTAGGTTTTGTTAATTTTAGTTTTGTATTTGGCCGGCGTGATCTAGTAAGTGATAGTTTGGTTAAAGTAGCTTGGCTGCTACTTTTGCTTCAGTCGTCGGCAAATCCTTTTATTTATTCTTTTTTTCGTTTTGAATTTCGACAAGCCGCACACAAATTAATTTTCTGCCGATTTAGAAGAGTCGATATTGAGCCGACAAGCCGTTTTTCGGGCACCAACACCAATTAAATACAGGAAACGGTGTTTCTCTGGAACTAAAAAATATTGGTTCGTAAACTTTAAAATAAAAGGAGTTTATTTTGTTGTTTTTTCCTCTCGCTCTCCGACAGTTTATGTTAGAAAGGTAAAATACATATGGTTTCCTGAAATGACAGCACACTTGACAGTGAACCAAGAGCGTTAATCTTTTTCGGCCACTTAAACACTTAACAAACGAAATTAAAACAAAAACAAAAAACAGCGTTTCTTCAAAATATTGGTTAGTAAATAAACTGTAAGATTAAAGCCGACTTATTACTGCAACCTTTTTTTTTCTCTTGGTTAGACTTTGAGCTAGCGTAAAAGGCGATTCGCGCTCGTCTTGCGCTTAGCGCGAAATGCCGCGTTTGCCTCGCTTGGCTCATAAAAGTTCCTGTTTTGCAGGCTAGGTTAAACTAAAAGGTACAATGTTCATGTACATTATATCCTTAAGTGACACATCAGTCGATGTTGAGCTGACAAGTCACGGTGGTCGGTTGCTAGGGCTTTTGCTCCCATACCTCTCAAAACTGAGAGTTTAAGGCCATAGAGAGAAGTAAAATGCATCGAATGTAACAAAACTTGGCAAGGAAGTAAGTTGATAAATTACCTATTTATTGGTGTTTATTTCATCCCATGTGACTTCTATTGTGACGTCATAAATGATGTCCAAAGTTGGCATCAGAAGGAAAATTCAGGAAAGAAATGCTAAAAATTTTACATTAGTTTTCTGTATAAAATTCTATGATTTCTGGTGAAAACCCCATCTCGATCGGATGAAAAGGCGCAAAGTTACATTTACTTAAAGAAATTCAAATTTCCCGCCAAATGACCATATATGGTCAAACTTTAGGGGTATTTTAACGTGAAAACAATGAAGGTAGTCGCAACAGAGAAAAGACAAATTTGCATAAAAACAAAATTGTAGTTTTTTGAGTTTAGGATGTGTGGTCTATGACGCGTATTTCGTCACGAATTACGTCAGTTTGACGTCATAATGACGTAATTTGTGACGAAATACGCGTCATAGCACCACATATGCCGAATTAAAAAAACTACAATTTTGATTTTGTGCAGCTTTGTCTTTTTTCCGTTGTAAATACATTCATTGTTTTCGCGTTAAAATACCCCTAAAGTTTGACCATATATGGTCATGAGGCGGGAAATTTGAATTTCTTTAATTACCTGTAACTTCACGCCATTTTATCCGATTGAGATGGGGTTTTCACTGTAAATATTGTTTTTCTGTAACATAAATGTTTGTAGCTTTTTAAACATTGCTTATCAAATTTTTAACTTTGTTACTTAAAATAGGTGTCACTTATGACGTCATAATTTCAAGAAAAGTCAAAAATACCTTTACAATTGTAAAAATTTAAAGAAAACTTTTCTCCAATTAAGATGTTCTAATGTTTTGCTTCATTTGAAATATAAACTACCCCTCTGTAAGCCAGAAATCGAATTTAAGAACCAAACGGGAGCAAAAGCCCTAGCAACCGACCATCGTGAGTCGTTTTCGGCTTCTTTTTGCAGCAAATGGAGTTAGAAAATTAGTACACTGTATACACGGTTGTTTTCCTTCCTCTTGAACAAAATTACAAACTTTAAGATAAACACATATTGTATATTTCCTGAAATATTTACAAGTTAAAAAAATGTTGCTTTATATGAACACACACAACACAAACATGGTTGTTCTTAATCGGATACAGGTGTAGCTAATAAAGTTGTTACAATGCAGAATTTCGTCAGTATGCGTCGACCGCCAACCAGTTTATGGATAAGCAATGACGCAAAACCGTTAGGTGCTAGATAAGTATGACGCAAGATTATTAGATATAGCTCGCGCCGGGTAGTTTTTTCTCGTTAGTTTTTTTGAAACATTAGGTTTCCTTTTCATATAACCTTTTTCGTAAAGCCGAAATTAAAAGTTAGAAAAGGTTGAGACTTTCTTTTCCTTATACCCCTCTACGTGATATTTTTTTACTTAAAAGACTCTCTTAAACTACTAATCTTAATTGCTTTTTAAGAAACATCTTCAGAATCAGATTTACGATAACCAGAAGCAAAGACGTTGCAGAAAAATCAATTGGGCGCCTTTTTTCTGATTATAAATGAAAGTGCAGATACGAATTTGTCACGTAAACAAATTAAGTAAACAAAGGCTATACATTCGAGTAAGCGAATTATTGGTATTGTTAATCCAATAACAGTTTGCTTCGAGTTCTTCGATTTGCTATAAGCGGTGTTTGTGGCTTAGAAGTCACTTTTACGTTGCATGGTCGCCATTTACTCATTAAACAAGGCAGATCCAAAAATGCACCTGTTTTTCCTGATGATCATTTCTGCTAAAAATTTAGATTGTTCGTTTTCGAGTGGTTTTCGATAGATAACCAGAACGTCTTGGCTAGCAGTCCTATTTCTGTAGACAATTAACTACCACAATTGCTTCCTAATACTATTCCGGCTAGAATATGCTTGAAGTGCCCTGGCATTATCCAATACTGCGCAATAAGATGAACTTATTTTTTTGTGATTTCTTTCAGCTGTTAGCCGACGTCACAGAGACATTTTGCAAAGAACATTTATTCAAATTAGGTTCGTCATTTTAACGTTTGTGTTTCCAAACAGAGATGGTTATAAATAACTAAATTGTTTTTCTTTTTAGTCTAGTCCACACCACTCTCTTTCGCAGTCGTTTTTGTGACCACTGCGCATGCGCCAGTTGTCACTCAGTTGCCATCGAGTTAGTTTTCCGAAAGTAGGTAAGTAACTACCAATAGAATATACTTCAGAGCAAATCAGCATACTTACTTTTCCGAAAATAAGTACTGAGTAACAATAGAGTATACTTCGGAGCAAAATCAGCGTGCAAAGATAACCAGTTTTCGGATGGAATCTTTCGTCGATGGTCCTCTATGACAAGCGAAATGCTCGGCTGCCTCGTGGTCTGCTTTGATAGCTAGTGTAACCGAATGAAAAGGCAATGAAATACATCTTTTCGAGATTTTGTTCTTTAAAAATTCTATCTAAATGATCTTTCTGTTATTACAGTTAATCGACTTCAAAGGGCTGTCAAGGTGTAAATTTCTGAGGTTCCTATCCGGTCTTGTGAGTATTCCTACGCCATGTCAAGAAAGATCAAAAGTCTTACGAAAATCTTCTTACGGCTGCAAAGGAGACTAGATCATTTGCAGCGCATTGTAAAAAGGACATGTTGGAGTGACTACGTGTCCCGCGTTGACCTTTCGCTATCATTTCTAACGTTACTTAAAAAAAGTTGGTAACATTGCCAATGTGTTGATCATACTTCATCATTTGACGAAGTTGTGCGCATTCATGGGAAAGGTGAAAAATGCGTTACGAATCATTGAGAAACGTTGCAATGCATTTTAAAGCATTCAAATACATTTTACTCTTCAGCAGTAGTCACACGCGCTTCTGGAGCGCCTATTTTTCTAGTGTCCCGTAACTCTCTTTTCCAGCATTGCGTTGCGGGAGACTATAAAGTCCACACACACTAACGGGTCCTTATAATTTTGTAAACGCGCACCGGAAAATTGGCGTTTACGGATTTCTAAAGTATAATCGAAAATTTTTTCGTTTACGATCTTATCTATTCGGGATTTACGAAGCTGTCGTTACGTTTCCTATTGCTCAGGTCAAGTGGACGAAATCCATAGTCAGATGTATCAGTCATATGGTCCTTTGATAGTGATAAACCACACACAACCCACAATCCCTTGATTCGTTCTGACGAGGGGCTACCCAGTCGAAACCTTAAACGAAACTTTTAGGATGGTAAATTATCAATCAACAACTTATGCTGACACAACCTCTCAGTCTAGTGTTGTTCAATCGATTTCTCGGGACGTAACAACTAAAAGAAGTATCAAATGAATCTATAAGAAGAAAAGAAACAGAATCGACAGCCAATTTTATGGTTATATTTTCGCGGTTCTACGATCGTTCCAGAGACAAAAAATCTAAATCGGGTATTATTTTTCCATATTGCACTGTTTTTTTTTTTAATAAGACCTAAGTATTTGCTAAGTTTTAACAAAAAAAACTATAAATCTATTAGAAGAAAACTTAGATAGTATTGTTAGCTAGCATTTTTCCCAAGATAGCTAAGGTTAGGCCTATGTCAAACGTAGAACTTTTTATGAGACGAACCAAACTTAGTGAATTAAGTTCATGAAAATTTCGACGTCTATCACAGTTAAGTTCGTCTGAATGAGTTTGGATCGTCTGAAGCAGACGGATAGAAAGTCTGAAGATCGTCGCTGGGACAAACGTCGACTTTCACATGCGACAAACTAAACTAATACATTATTAAGATTTTTTATTATTCATTCAAAATATTTCCCCGATTCTGGTTGACTAAAACCACACGCATAATTCCAGCTACTAATGACCAAATTTGGAAGACTTTTTTGTTTAATAAACCGATGACTTCAAAAGTGCAGTTTTCTTGTTTGTTAATGCACCATTAACCGAGAAGACCTGGGGACGAGGATGAGTTGTTTTGGTTGTGAAAACAAAAATGGTGGACATTTCACTAGTTTAAAGAGTGAAAAGTAGGCGAAATAATAGCTAAAAACATGGCAAGAACAGCAAGAAGACAACTCGAAGGGCGACATTTGCTATTTGGAGAATATTTTCGGTGCTGAACATCCCTAAACGTGCACTATCGAAGATGAACTTAACATCGATGGATCGATGGAGGTAAGCATGTTTTAGCCACGTTTTTAAACTAGGAATTATTTTGAGTGAATAATAAAACAATTATTGAATTCGGCTTTCGTATCATGTGAAGAATTATGGAGATCTCGGATAATTCTTCATAAGATACTCAGCCTCATTTAATTGTTAAGTATGATAATAGCCTCGTTCGGGAGAAAATTAATCAAAATTCACTTTTTGGTCTGACGTTCGACCTCTGACTCAACAGATGATCTTAATTTAGGTCAACCCAAATGAGAGTTTGGTTCGTGTCATGAAAAGTTCGGCGTTTGGCCTAGGCCTTAGCTACAGGCAGCTAAGGTTAATGCGGGGATAATGATGTCTTGGTCGAGTCCGGCGGGTTTAAAGAGGTTTGCACAGGCCTAGGATTTATTCTCAGTAATTATATAGTCCATACATGTGTTACATTGCTTCATTTTTATCTGCAGCTGTACAGTTAAGGCAAAGTGTTTTATAAAACTACCATAGATTTATCACTTACCAAACTTACTTGTTTGCAGGATAGGTGTCTTTCACATTTCCTCTTCATTATTCAGGCGTAAGAAAAAAAAAATTAACAGAAAATTACTAAGTTCTATTGCTCCGCTGTTTGGTCACAGAACTTATTGGAGGTGTAGTATGAACAATTTCGTTCTTGACGGTAGCATCGAAACAAGTGGCTTCCTAAGCTTCCATATGGCCTAGTTGATTAAAAATATCCTGAATTAGACATATAACTAAACTTCTCCTTTATTAATGCTTGACAATACTATTTTGAACGTAAGGGGAATATGTATGTGCATCAGTGCGTTATTAGATTATTTATTCAGCTTATTTAATATCTTTCCGCGCCAAGATGTCATTTTTAATGAGGTAGCCTTTTCCTTTTGAAAAAACGGCCTCGATCCTTTCAAACTTCAAAAACTCTTACGATACTTCAAGGGGACACATTGCCGGGGATAGAGCTCGACAGCGTCTTTCTTTTGTTTCGTTTTTCTTTGACAAAATACCCCAAATCTACTTCTAGTAGTTCCAAGGATAGAAAGGGAAGAATGGACATAGACCCGACATTTCTTATCAATATGTCCAACGCCACTACCTTGAGAAAATTCCCTACAAGAGAATATACATCTGTGCGATGTCAAAAAGATTTAGAAAGCACCTTTTGGATTTTATTTGGCGCCCAAGGAGTGATCATTCTTTTCGGGAACATAATTACGGTCATTGTATTCCTTTCAAACAAGAAACTGCGGAGAAGCTACATGAACATCTTTCTTGTCAGCCTGGGTTTTGCAGATATCCTGATGGCACTGCTTGTCATTCCAGGTCACGCTATATTCTGTACGGGATGTCAATACACTATAACAAAGCATTGTTGGTTTATTGGTAGTACAAGATTCGTGGTTTTTCCAGCAACAAAATTCAATCTTCTCGCCATAACTTATGATCGCTACTTAGCCGTGTTAAGGCCACTACAGTATCAGGTTAAAATGACAGGAAAACGCGTCATCTCAATACTTCTTCTTGCATGGACTCTACCCATCGTACTAGCTGTATTAAGAAACGCTTGGCAGCATACATCGTCGCCGGAGAAGTCGCTGTATGTCGATCGTATTTACAGCACAGTGTTAATATTCGCGTTTGTTGTGGTGCCAGTGGTGTTGATGGTGATTGTGAATATACTTATAGTGCAAGCGATCAGAAGACAAAGAAGAGGGGAAGACAATCGCGCAAAGTTATTAAGACGTAACAGAGGCACATGCAATTTAGGTCAAAAAGAAAACTGGAATGAAAGACATCTGATACACAAAGGAACAGTATCGTGCATTTTAATCGTTCTGATTTTTGTTGTTTGCTGGATACCAAGGGCCTTTTATAACTTTAGCCATGTGTTTGGTCGGCCTGACATGGTTTCTCCGTTATTGGAAAAACTGTCATTGTTTTTCCTTTTTTTACAGTCGGCAGTAAATCCTGCCATTTACTCATATTACAGGGATGATTTTAAAAAAGCTTTACTGGATTTGCTTTTGAGAACCTAATTAAAAATAGAGATTCATATTAGGTCAACGCCCCTCATTTCCTTTAGTTCTTCAAGCTTTCAATTTTGTATGTCATCATTGACTCACACAAATGAGACATGCCATTATATCATTGTTACAAATTGACTGTCTCGTCTTAACTTGTCTTTATGATTTGCACAGTGCACATATCATGAGCAGTCAGCTGTAGTTAGACAAACTTGGAAGCAATTATTTGAACGAACTGAAGTAAATTTTGCCATTGGGCTAGGTGGCGTTGAAATTTCCTCTTTCTCAACCGTTGTAAGGTATTCAGTAATTCTCCATTTGTGGAAAATACAGTATAATTAAATCAACTCTACACGAGAATCAAATTTATTACGTTATTTACCGCATCGACGCGGAAATAGTAAAATTAAAAGTCAGTTTTCATGCTTGAGGAATCTGAGGAATAAAATCTGTTGGCCATTTTCCCTCTTTTGGGTACGCCTTGTTATTACTAAATTCTTAATATCGGAATATTTCTTTTAACATAATATTAACTAATGGAGTGGATCCACACCGTGAAGTTATGGTACCATTATACGCAATAAAACGAATCAAAAAAGGGTAATTCTTAATCAGTTTATGTCCAACCGAATGACCGAATCCGAGGTCTGAAGATGTCTTGGCTTCAATGTAAGTATATTACTTCGTCGGCCCCACCAACTCCAAAAGATCACGGCTTTTGTGACGAGAATTCTTACTTTTTAAAGGAGAATTCTTTCCTTTTAATTGAAAATTCTTGCTCTCTAATTTAGATCCGTTAAAAAGGTCTAAATTGGACGCTTGCTTACTTTCCACTAGCATTTTGTGGCCAAAATTAAAAGTGTAAAAATTTAACCCCATTGAGACCCCTCACTAAAAAAGTTTAGTAACTTCAAAACCGTTCCAAACTTTGCGAATTTTCCCAAAAATTATCTGGAACATTTTAAAGTGGTGGTGATTTGTATGTCAACATTACCGTAACTATGTCAACGAACTTTTGAGAGCAAAGTTTTTCAAACTTTGCTTTTTTCCTATGCAAAAAGGTTTACTTATATTTTAACTCACTAGTAATATATTTTTAGCTTATTTCCACTGTTGGTGTAATCCAGGCATTTTAGTGACCGATTTGAGAAAATAAACATGAATTCAAAATGACCAAATGGCAGATGCTTGGTTCAGTTTTTTTAAAACAATGTTCATTTTTCTGGGAATTTCATAACTTGTGGATTTTGGGGCTTCCTATAAGCATCTTTTAAAAACAGATCAATTTTTCTATCACTGTTTCCCCGATTTATACGTGTTTTAAGTAAAATGGAATGCATTTGATCAGTTCAAAATGGCGAATCCAATATAGCCGAATGTTCGCTTTTGAATAGTTAATGATGTCATTATGACATCACTGCTTCTGTTAAAGATTATTGATGTGTTAGCCAACCTTTCCATTTTTTCAAACACCTAACTTTTCAAAGTATTTTTCGCCTTGAGAGAAAAAATTAGTGGAATTCTGCAAATAAATTCAACAATATGCGGTCATATTCACGTTAAATTTTAAAAGTAATTGTAGCAATCACGGGATCAAGTTATGCCTAGATGTTGTAAAAGATGAATACGTTATTCTTTATAATTCTGATGGCCTTATCATTTATTTATGTATTTATTTATTTATTTATTTCATTTCATTTCATCATTTTGAGTCAGTCAGATTGTAGTAGTTAGGTCTCTCGTCAGGTCTCCAGCAACCGGATCTAGAAGCGGAGTCGACGTTTCACCAATATGATTGAATAAACATATGATTCCTCCAGGTGGGCTATAAATAGCAACTCTACCGATTTGTGCGCTCGGTATAATTATATGACGCCGACGTCAAAAACTTTGACTTTTCTTCTTCAATTAAGTAAATTACTTTTCCGCCTGCTAACATATTTTAATTTCGAGAGTTGAAGAGTAATAAAACACCCTGACAGGGAGCTTATTAAAAGACATCTTATTGTACTGAATTGTTGGACACTGTTTGAGGAAGATCTCCTTGCCACCTACACGTATACTTTGAAAGGAAAGCGTGTTTTCAACTTAATTTACTCTGAAATGTAAATAAATATGGTATAGTTATACCTGTCAATATTTATGTAAATAATGTAAATAAATATGATATAGTTATAGTACCGCTCGGTATAATTATGTGACGCAGACGTCGAAAACCGGTTGAACTCTTCTTATTCTCATTCGCTAAAGTAAATATAATCACTTTTCCGCCCGCTCACATATTTTAATTTCGAGAGTTAAAGAGTAAAAAGCCAAACAGGGAGCTTATTAAAAGACATCTTAATGTACTGAATTGTTGGTTACTGTTTGAGGAGGACTTCCTTGATATGATAGTCGCCACCTACACTTGTAGTTTGAAATGAAAGCGCGTTTTCTAGTATAGATTTACTCGGAAATCGGTAAATAAATATGGTATAGTTATTGTACCGTACGACAGACTAATATAACCGAAATTTGAATAATAGCTAACGCAAATATGACAGTTATTAGATTATTAATCTGCTGCCCATGCTCAACGGAGAAACACAGTGAATAAGCAGCCAATTTTACGATTACGGTTATATTTTCGAGCGTTTAATTTATGACCCCTCCAGGGATAAAAAAAATCTAAATCGGGCAATATTTTTCCATATTGCACTCTTCTTTTTTCATAGCAGACCCATGTATTTGTTGTGTTTGCGAATTGACTCGATAAGGTGTCACTTTATTTGCTAGTTTTTGCAATATGTGTACCTTGTTAGGATAAAGTTGATGCCATTATGTGAATAATATACTGCTATAATGGCGCGTTCGATTATAGAAAGACAATATTTTTCCATATTGCACTCTTCTTTTTTAATAGAAGACCCATGTATTTGCTGTGTTTGCGGCTTGACTCGATAAGATGTCACTTTATTTGCTGGTTTTTGCAATTTGTGTACCTTGTTAGGATAAAGTTGATGCCATTATGTGAATAATATACTGCTACAATGGCGCGTTCGATTATAGAAACACAACTTTTTTAAGCGAAAAGAGTAACTGATTTTTTTCCAGTACCAACGTTTTGAGTTTAAAAACATGAGTTTAGAGTTGTATTATCTCGTATTAGTCTAACCAAGATAGCGATCATAGAACACTTTTGAAAGAGATGACGCGTCATCTCAGTCTGTCATAAAGCTTTGTGTTTGGTATCAGTGACTTGTTTAAAAAACATGAACATAAATAGCATTATTTTGAAACCAATGGACACGTTGAAATGAAATGGTGACATGCTTTGTGTCCTCGATACAACCAAAACGGGCCTTGGTACAGAACAGCTGTCTGATTTTTAATCGTGTAAAGCAAAGGAAAAGTTGGAAGGATGAAAGATTATGATCCAGGGCTGCTATAACTTAGGCATTTCTTTTTTTGAAAAAAAAAAAAAACAAAACAAAACCGACTGATCGAGAATCATGGTCAAGCAAGACTGCGATACTTCAACAGAAACTATCTTTTTTATTGTCTACGGCTTTGTCGGTGCCACGGCGTTCATAGGCAATACGTTCGCTTGCGTTGTGTTTCTTCAAACAGAAAAATTTCGGCAGAGCAAAATGAACGTTTTGCTGGTAAGTCTCGCCGTTTGGGATATTCTAATGTCTGTTTTTGTTGCTCCGTTTTACGCGATCTATTGCGGTCTCGGCTGTGAATATCCGCTGATGGGTTACTGCTGGCTAATGAGAGGGGCGAAGGATTGTATAAAGATAGGTACAACTTTGAATGTGTACGCAATTATTTACGACCGTTACATTGCTGTGATGAAACCGCTTCAATACAGCTCCAAGATGACTCCAAAAAAGGTTGCCGCCATTTTATCGACAGTTTGGATCTTGTCGGTCATATTGGCTTTGATAAGGAACATCTGGCAGCATAACCACCACATCGATATTCGTTTTGCTAACAAGGTGTACGACAGCATCATTGTTTTGGGCTTCGTCGTTGTTTTGGTTATAGTTATGCTCATAACAAATGTTAAGATTGTGGCGGCAATAAGAAAGCAAAGGCAACTAGAAAAAAGACGTTTAAAAAACGGCTGCCACGCAATGTCGTCTCAAACGCGCAAGGGAACAGTTGCCTGTGTAACAGTAGTTCTCGTGTTCGTTATTTGCTGGATACCAAGAGCTATTTACAACTTTAGTTTTGTCATCGATCCGCCAGGACTAGCAAATCCTCTATTCTTCAGAATATGCTTCTTGTTTCTGTTTCTTCAGTCATCGCTGAATCCATTCATTTACTGGTTTTACAGACGCGAATTCCGCCAGGCAGCTTTCTCAGTGTTAAAATGTCACACTGTTATCGAGAGAGCGGAGTCAACTGTCTCGACTTTAAGGACTGTATCGTTCCTTTCTGAAACAGGTCAGAGCCACCAGCCCTTCAACGAAAATGAATCTATTTCCCATCTAAGTCAACGGGGACCACCTGATATACAGCTGGTGTCATACAACACTTCACGGGCATAACAAATTCTCAAAAGGGATTTTAAAAAATGAAGGAACATTGTAATAACATCCTACCTCGTTTGACAAGAACATTAACTATCTGACATCTTTATCAGTAAAACGAACTTGATTGTTTTCAGACAAATGTTATGGCAAGGTAAATTTAAATTTTTTGGTAAATAGAGTCATTTGACCTTCAATGGTATACCAGGCTAGAAAATAACTGAATTGTGAGCCTTTATCTTATAAGACGTCATACGGGATTTATAATTCATTCTGAACTTTGGGATCACCTATTTCTACTGGTCATTCTCTGTATTCTCTTTGTATACTAACACATTATAATAGATTGTACTCAGCTCTCGGAGATAACTAAAAAAACTACTTGTAAAGTTTCATAATTTTGAAAATATTGAATCTGTATCTGATGTTAGAAAACTTGCGTACCCATTGGTCGGGAAGATTTCGGTTGAAGTATACAGTATACAGTATACAGCTCAACCGACGTCATCCAAAAATGGCGGTCGAGTTACTCTAAAATAGACTATTTTTTTTTGGCAAGTCACCTTTGTTAAAACTGAATATAAAGTGGAGTAAAAAAAGTCTTGTTAAGGTTTAAACAATCAAGTACTAAAAAGAAAAGCTTCATTTCCTTTGTATGTATTATCAGTTTCACTCAACGGTGAACTAACAGAAAGTTGTTGTTGCTGCTTCATGGTTTCCTTATTTTTCATTGCGTTTCTCAACTGTACAAGAAGACATTCATAGATCTCAAAAGGTTCCGGTACCCCAAATTATCTGTACGAAAAACGCTTAATTTGGCCTGAGAAAAATTTATATTGATCGAAATGGTTATATTATATTATACAAAAGGTAATCTTGTTCAGTATCTTTTAATTGTTTATTTTCGATTTTTTTTCTTGATCTTATTAGCACATTGTCAGCTAACGAAAAACTGTTAACTTTTTGTAGTCTATCTTAAACCTTCGCTTTAACAGATAGCCTCAAAAAAAAAAATTTTAGCCCTTAAGAGTCCCAGAAACTCGCTAAAAGTGATCAGTATTCCTTTTTGGTGGTTGTTAGAATAAATAAATGACACTCTGGTCAAAAAAACATGACAGCTGTAATAATACTCCGTCTTAAGCAATAAATTGTAAAAGAAGACCGTTTATTTGCTCAGTTGACACTTGCTCTCCTTTTCAAATCCACTAGCTTTGGTTGATACAACATGTACAATTAACTAAAGCAGAGTCTTGCAGAGTAAAACACGTTCTAACGTACGTTGACTAAAGCTGAAATTGAAACTATATGTATTATTTGTGTCTGCTTTTATTTTTCCATCTCTTTCTTTTTTCCTTTTCTTTTTTTGAGGAAATCGATAAATGCCAACCATTCACAGGCACAATACAATGCAGAATTTTTTAGTAATTTGTTAAAAGTAAAATACGTAACTCCTAACGGTACATAAAATACGAGCTTTTTCCCAAGGTTTTTATATACATCATTTATTCAAATAATATTTAAATATAGAGATCCTAATGGAGGATGTCAAAACAATTTCAGTGTATTTGCTTTCCATCATCATATTAGGTTGTGCTCAGGAAATTGGTCGAATGAAGTTGGAGAACAGGATCGATTATTCGCCGAGATCGCCATCTTATAAGCCTCAAAGCAGCTACCCTAAACTCAGATCTGTAAAATGAGTAAATAAAAGGATTGGCAGAAGATTGTAAAAAAAGAAAAAAGAAAGCAATCTTGAGAAACAAAGGGTTTGCCAATCCCGGTGGTTTGATTACATAGCTGAGGTTGTACACAATACGAGGCAACCAGCAGGCGATGTAAACAAACACCACGAAAATGCAGGCTCTTGTGCCTTTTCTTAGTCTTGTTAGCTCTTCATCATTGGCTCTCCCAAGGTGTCTTCGATTCCGCTCACGTTCTTTGTGAGTTTTGACAGCAATCATTATCTTAGTATTTACAAAAAGGGAGACAATGATTGAAAGTAACACAAAAAGAAACGTTAAGACAATGTCGTACAACTTGTTCGCGAAACGCAGATTTTCCCCACTCTTTGTGTGGTGCCATGCACTTCTGATTGCCGCCACAGCCACTGGGAGCAGCCAAACTCCACCTAAAATCGCGGTCACCCGCCTGTTGGTCATTTTCGCGCCATAATGAAGAGGATGGATTACTGCCAAATATCGGTCGTATGCGATTGCGCAGATGTTTAATGTTGATGCTAATAAAACACAGTCTTTCGTTGCTCTAAATAACCAGCAGTAATTCCCGAGGGGATATCTACAGCCTCTGCTGCAAAATACGGCATAGAATGGAACAACGCCTATCGCCATTAACACGTCCAAACATGCTAAACTGATAAGAAATACATTCATGTAACTCTGACGAAGTCGCTTTGATGAAAGAAAGACCACGCAAGTGAAGCTGTTTCCAAGAAGAATGATGGCCCCGATTAAAGAGTTCAGTATCCAAAATATGACCTCAGTTGTTTTGTGACAATAATTAACGTTTGAGGTGATGTTAGTAGCATCCGCTTTATCCTCGAAGTCAAAGAAATCATCTAGCTCAGTGTTATTTGAAAAGGAACCTTCCATCAGTGACTAACAATACAAGGAAGGAATGACCTGACTCTAATTTTCGAACATTAACCTGAAGTACGTAGTCTTCCAAAATTTATCGACTGTAAGAGAGCAGCACACGATACTTATCGTGACCACAACACCAATGAAAGATGTTATAAAATATTTGCTTTGGATGATTTTTGCACTATTTGTACAGAATAGCGCATTATTGGCTAAGGGGTGACGTGTTTTAGCCTTTCATGTCATTCTATTGCTCGACAAATAAGTCAGTTTTTCATTAGTTCCAATGATGAATAATCTCAATGTGACAGGAAAGACACGTAGTCGTGATCAATGCGAAGAAGATAATTTAACGGTAACCAGGAACAGATCCTCAATAGACTTTTATCTACTATTCGTTGTACCAGACTTTTTTTGTTTCGCCTGTGAATTTTTTTCAAAACGATCTTGAGCCTGATCCTCTTCTTTTAATTGTTCAGCATTCCCATCATTCCTCCAACCATGTCGGCAGTCGGATGTCATGGCTACGAGATATGACGTCATAGGAAATAAAAGGTGGAGCTATTTTTTAGGAGTGATTGTTTTTTTGTGTGCGTGTGTGCACCTTTTCTTACTACAGGGAAGTAAAGTAGAGTTCATTACACGAAGGCTATTAATCTTTCCATCAGATCATAACAGAAAAAGAATGACTGGTCGACATATAATGCTTTCAATAAAACCGGCCTTAGCCAAAGCGACATAAAACCCTTGAATAGTTTTGTTTCATGGTTGCCGCGAATGTCGACTTAGGCGATTTTATTGTCTAGTCGGTGAAAGTAGATAGATAAGAAGATAGTCGTCTTCTAACTCGTTTTGCCCCCACCTTTCCCTAATACGTGCCGGTCTAATTGTGAGGAAAATAATTTAGCTTTCTTTGATCAACAAGAATTAGTACGTGCACGACAATATAGAAACTTGATGGTTGTAAACATTTGAAGACGAAAAAAAAAATTTATAGCCCACGAATTTCCTTTCTGTCCGTTTATTTTCCCGTTCATATACAATCTTTCAAAATCCATTGTCGTTTGTCTCTAAAATTGATTGGTAAACAAATTTAATTGACGGTACTGGCTTTAGCGTTACTTCAGAGTTCAGCTGATAAAAACACGTTTTAACTGATTCTTAGAGTATTTTTGTGGAACACGTACTGAAACTGAAGAGCCACATTATTATAATAAAAAAATATTGCTACAATAAAAGATTGAAAGCATTTTTATTTACGTATATTCAACTCTAAAATGGCCATCGAACGCTGAACTATTTGAAAATTAATACACATCAAGGTGACTCGCCGCTCTTCCAACATTAGCAGTTTCTTCAAACTTTTCTTATTGATCACAGAATCATCTACCTACATTTTCCGTCTTCATAAATATTTACAATAAATATAACCACCTTTTCCTAGGTTTTCTTATTAGTTTACATCATGATGGTTAAACTGTAAAGTTAATACATTATCGATATCCAGTTTCAAAATTATTTACACAGAACTGAACTTTTATTAAAATACTTGGCAAGATGGCGACAATTTTAAATGACGTCACTTGTCAGCGCGGTGGTGAATATTACGCGCGCTGTGATTGGTCGTTGCCTATGATCTACTATAGTACAGACACACAGATGACGTCACAGGAAACTCCTTTTCCTTTGTTTTGTCTGACAATGCGCGATGTTTGGAAAGTGTTTGTGACATTATTCTGTATTAATCAAGTGAAATTAACGACGATTTGAAAATGCCTTAAATGGAAGAAATCTTCAAACCAGTTACCATAGTGTGTCATCGCCACAAGAATGGAAGAAATCTTCAAATCAGTTACCATCGTGTGTCATCGCCACGAGAGAGCCCGCGGCTTTAAAACTGTTTGCACGATTATTCTGCTTGTAGCAAGTAATTGGCATTGGTAAACGTAGGCGTTTAATCTAAAGGATTGTTCAAGCCACCTAAAAAACGATTGCTACACAGGCTAATTAAGTAAAAACGTCCAACGAGGAAAATCGGAGCAGCCGAATTTTGATGAAAACATTTCACTTGTATCCCACTAATATCCTTAGATTACAATTGACCTAAAAGCAGCGTGATACATCCTCAGAGACCCAGGGGCAGATAGTGGGGGCGAGGGAAAGTCTAAACGGGTGGGAAAATATGGCACGAAGAAAAGTAAAGAACGGCGAGAAGAGCCCCTGGGGACAATGTCTTACCAGACCAGTTCCAAACGGTCGCCGCCGTCCTGGCTTCTGATTGGTGCCAGAAAACTTTTGTGTTTTTCCGTACCCTGTTGGATTAATTAAGGAGTGTTTTTCGATTGCGTGCCCGATATATAGGACCTACTGTTATCGAAATCAGCTCCGCAAACCAAATAATTGAAAAACAGTTATTCATTGAATGGATGTGACCGGAAATGGTAAAATTGTTAAACAATTAGCCTGCTTAGCAGGCGTCGAAAAGGGTAGGGGACAGGAGGAAGGGAAAAAGGAGGGGGAATGGGCAGAGGGTAAGGGACTCCCTTCCCTTTTCCCCTCTTTCGCGCTTTTCTCCCCTCTTTCGCGCTTTTTTTCTCATCAACATAAACCTTCTCCTTAAACAAATATGTTCTATTTTGGTAAAATTTCGCGACTTCCACGACAACCCTTTTATCGTAAAAGAACGTTTGATGCAACGTTTCAGACATAATATCATAGGTGACGAATTACTCCTTAATTTTGGCGCAAAATTTCAGCGTTAATTTATAATTTCACANGCGTGCCCGATATATAGGACCTACTGTTATCGAAATCAGCTCCGCAAACCAAATAATTGAAAAACAGTTATTCATTGAATGGATGTGACCGGAAATGGTAAAATTGTTAAACAATTAGCCTGCTTAGCAGGCGTCGAAAAGGGTAGGGGACAGGAGGAAGGGAAAAAGGAGGGGGAATGGGCAGAGGGTAAGGGACTCCCTTCCCTTTTCCCCTCTTTCGCGCTTTTCTCCCCTCTTTCGCGCTTTTTTTCTCATCAACATAAACCTTCTCCTTAAACAAATATGTTCTATTTTGGTAAAATTTCGCGACTTCCACGACAACCCTTTTATCGTAAAAGAACGTTTGATGCAACGTTTCAGACATAATATCATAGGTGACGAATTACTCCTTAATTTTGGCGCAAAATTTCAGCGTTAATTTATAATTTCACATGTGAAATTACAAAATTGCCATGGCAACCCCCCGTATGTCTCAGTGTAAAGATGGCAACGAAGTTTTAAAATGCCGTGAATGAAGATGTCAGGGCACAAAAAGACGCTTTAGAAAACCTGAACACACAAGAGAACATCAAGAAGGATTCTAAAAGGTATTTTGCCGAAAAAGTCCGAAAAATCCTGAACTTTGTAAGCCAGATTTAAGGTCTAAACATTTGAGAGAATGGAGCTCTCGATCGAAACGATCCAGGATAAACATGTCAAAAATCCAAGATTGCTAACGCAATTCGTCACCCATGATATTAATAGGTAATCAAATGGTTTACTCGTGAAATTAGGGAATAATTTAACTTGCGTTTTGTCCAAATCCTAATAATTTCCCGAGCCTTTGGAAATTATTAGGATTTGGACAAAACGCAAGTTAAATTATTCCCTAATTTCACTCGTCACTGATTTGATTACACATACTAACCGCCTTAGCTTAGACCGATTGCAAGGATTATTATATATTGTAGTTCGTGCAAAGTTAGGAGAACCCTTTCACAGCTTTTTGATGAGAATTTGCTTGTTTGTTACAAAACTCTAGTTTTTTTTTCCTGTATTCAATAGAGCTTCTCTCTTCCGAAAATTATCAGAACAGAACTGAGTTAAATTCCATGCCAGGGCCGAAATTTCAGCATTGTGCTGCATTGTGGGATTGCTGTCGAACCTCCTCTGGTTCAATGCAAGGCTTTCTGATTGGTTAATAATAAACATCGACATTCACAGAGAGCCAATCAAGTGCGACCTCCCAATGACGCAAAAGCTTGGTTACACTGAAGAGTTGCGAGCAAAATTGCACTCAAAATCTACAAAAAAAACGTAGATCTAAAAAAAAAAACCTAGCTATACCGCTCAGGTTATGCTAATTTCTGACGAATTCAACTGCCAACCTCCATTAAGCGGTCACTTGCCGTCACCCCAATGGTGGCCTCTTGATGGCGGTTCTGAACTTATTCAATTATTTACCCCCTTTAAAAATTCTGTAAAAAAAATATTACTCATTGCAAGATATTTTCCTGCTTAGGAATAACAATGCAATAATTTCAATAATTCGAGGATCTGTATATTCAGTTTCACTGGAAGATGGAGCATTTCCATCTTGTGACATGTTTTTATCTTTGTTCTAAAAAGGAAAACTTATTAGTTTCTAGAAGAACAGTATATTACTTTGGAACTAATAAAAGAGTAAACACAAATATCATTGGCCTGCTGATATATGTGAAATGAATGCATTTTATCAGATTACAAAATAATGGGTTTTAGTTTTTACTGCCACTCGGACAAGAGGCCAAGTAATGCCAACGTTCGAGTGGATCTCTGTTGTATTGCAATCGGAACAATAGTGTGTGCTGAGGGGTGAAACTTTATTGACAGCTCCCCAAGTTACTGTTAGGGTATAAGCATAAACTGTGTTACTACTTAAACACTAAATCATTGGATACTGCAATTCTAGAGCTCTGATTGGCTTAGCCATCATGGTATGTGATATGATCAGTAGCCAACTCGGGGCAATGCGCCTCGTTGGCTATCTACCATCTCATATCCAACGCCCACTCTTGGAAAAACTGTTAATTGTGTTTTATAATTTTTTAGGGAGATTTATTTGATATAAACGAATGATGTTTGTAACTGGCCTGCCAGGATACCAGTTCAACGCTAACCTTTCGGGAAACAACTCCCCTGGCAAAGCTTTTGTTCTTTATTGGCATCATATCACTCAAAAGCACCCATACTGCCTAATAAATTTCTTTTAGAGTGAAATTAAATTCAAGCCTGGAGGCCTCCTTCCAGCATTCCGAAATAAGAAGCTGAATTAAACAATTAAAAGATCAATTTTTTATCAAGAGGGGGAAAACTTTAAAAGTTCTTTTTGTTACAGAATATGCAATTAAGGATGAAAAGACCACTTGGATGAAAAAGTGTTTCAATGTCTATATTTCAGTGCAAATGCAAATTAGGTGTCCTATAGTGAATTCTGTAAAATAGTCATAAATTATGAAATAGCCGTTTTTAGAAAACCTAGGGAATTGTCATTTTCTTTGAGATACAGAATTACAAAACAAACACCCTTGTTATACAGTAAAAAAGGGCTTGGTCATTTGGCGCAACTGGCACTTCGTCTTAAAGTGAATTAACCTCTTTGCTTTCAAGGTCATAGTTTTTTCAGTGACTTGTTTTTAATCTTCACTCTAAGTAATAGTTAAAAGTAAAGAAATTGGCTCAACACGATGTATACAAATCCTTTCTGTGACAAACAATGGCTATGCAAATTTTTTGAAAGTAGTGTCATTTGGCCTTTCGTTGGAAACTTCACACGTCGTGTGCCTATAACCAGATCAGAACATGGCAAGACTCCAGATTCTGAGAGAATCTTAAAGAGAAATCAAGACACAATTCTAGAGCAAAATGGACTACAAACGTGATCTGTTTATTATGAAGAAATTGTCAGACTCAAAGTGCAGGTAAACTGAATTATATTTTTGCGTCAAGCTTGCGAAAATGGCACACGTGTGGCCCAAAGAAAAAACGGTTCTAATTATGTTAATGAGAAAAGGAATTCTTGAACGATATTCGTCTCTCTAAGGCGTCATTGATGCACCTGGCACAGTATTTTAAACAAATAAGAATGAAAAATCATATGATTCGATCATTAATTACGAACATCATGGATCAGTACTAACGACCAGGCGAAACAAGAGCATGGAGAATCTAACAGAAAAGATGACAATCGAGGGCGCAAATCAAACATCTTGGCCCACCGGTAACAAAGAAATAGGAAACTGTGACAAAAAATTGAAGCAAATATTCTGGATCGTCAACGGAATTCTTGCTGTTATTGTTTTAACAGGAAATGTGTTCACTTGCGTGATTTTCCTTTCAACCAAGCGACTCCGACAACAACATATGAACATCTTCCTTGTTAGCCTAGCAGTCAGTGATATTCTGATGGCACTGGTGGTGGTTCCAGGTTACACGGCAGTATGTGCTGGTTGTAAGTACCTTTCGTCTGACACATGTTGGATTTTGGCCCAGACCAAAGACATCGTATTCAGCTCCACGTTTTGTAGCTTACTTGCTATTACATACGACAGGTATTTAGCAGTGTTGTGTCCCTTACAGTATAGCGCCAAGATGACCCGACGAAAAGTGACTGGCATAATAGTCTTTATTTGGGTTTTTCCAGTCCTTGTTGCTATCGCACGTAATATCTGGTGGCAGACGCAGTCAGAAGAGAAAGCAAAGGAGATAAATAAGGTCTACAATGCAATATTGGTATTTATTCTGGTGGTGATACCCGCATTTATTATGACGTTTGTGAATGCGCTTATTTTCCGTGCCATTCGATCACAAAGAAGAAGGATTTTTCCCAGGATAGAACAGAGTTCAAGCATAAGTCAAGGCGAGATGTGTAACGTGGAAAAACGTACAGAAAACTCGCAGAAACGAAAAGGTACAATTGCCTGCGTGGTTGTTGTGCTTGTGTTTGTGTTTTCCTGGATACCTCGCTCCATTTACAACTTCGCATACGTGTTTGGACGTGATGATCTCGTTACTCCACTTCTGGTTAACCTGTCAATGTTTTTCCTACTTTTACAGTCGTGCACTAATCCGATCATTTATTCCTTTTATCGGGCAGATTTTCGGCAGGCCGCTAAAAGGATTCTCTGGTGTACATAAAGATATTACAGTACAGTTATATTGTGCCCGAGTAATAAATGACTCTCTACGTATTGAAGAGAGGAGGTTCGGACTCAAAACTGTTTCAAATAAAGGACGAACTGAAGCCTTAAGAGCGAGTGGCCCCCTCCTTGCACTTATCAGTTCTGTGTTAAATCAAATTTTCAGCAAACTTTTGTCGTTCTATATAAATTGCAAATATAGCTGATAAAACATTGCTTTGTCTTTATTCAAGAGAGCGGGTATTTTAATGTTCAGTGGTGTAGCTCTAACGGGCAGTGACGGACCTATTGTTTCGATTTTGAGAATGGATTTTCCCTCTTCAAAAACAGAATTTGTATCCTATTTGGTTCATGCTTAGCGTGCGTTTATCGAGTTATGGTCGGCACGCGGGAAGTTTGAGGAGAACGAGAAAAGCGTAGTGCTCTAGGCGCAGCCGACAGCACTGAACTTTACCTTCTTCAGTGCGCATCGCAATTCCCCGTTTTGAATTAACATGAATTAAAGACTTTCAGCTGGCGGCTAATAACCGATTATTTCCTGTTGCATGCATGCCAAGTAAAGCGAAAAAGTGACACTTCAACAACAGCAGCAGCAGGTTTTCTTTCAAACTATGACATATGCAAAGTTATACACAAGCAATTAGCAATAGGCTGTAAAAGGCAAAAGTTGAAGTTGAAGTTGACGTATCGAGACAAAGCGAAAAAGGTTACTTTACGGTAGATACTGGCATGAAAAATAGTTAATAGTTAATTTACTTTTAGATTAATTAGATTGTAGACTATTTTATTGTTATTACTATCATTTATTTATTCATTTTTGTATATAATATTTTAACGTTATTAAGGTAATTTTATAGTGAGTATTTATTGTAAATATTTTCAAATGTAACCGTAAGTTTATTAAATAGATTTTATTAAGTAGGTGTCCCCGATTAGTAGGCTACTTGTGGCCAGCTAGAAGATTTTGACACGTTAATATACATCATTTATTCAAATAATATTTAAATATAGAGATCCTAATAGAGGATGTCAAAACAATTTCAGTGTATTTGCTTTCCATCATCATATTAGGTTGTGCTCAGGAAATTGGTCGAATGAAGTTGGAGAACAGGATCGATTCTTCGCCGAGATCGCCATCTTATAAGCCTCAAAGCAGCTACCCTAAACTCAGATCTGTAAAATGAGTAGATAAAAGGATTGGCAGAAGATTGTAAATAAAGAAAAAAGAAAGCAATCTTGAGAAACAAAGGGTTTGCCAATCCCGGTGGTTTGATTACATAGCTGAGGTTGTACACAATACGAGGCAACCAGCAGGCGATGTAAACAAACACCACGAAAATGCAGGCTCTTGTGCCTTTTCTTAGTCTTGTTAGCTCTTCATCATTGGCTCTCCCAAGGTGTCTTCGATTCCGCTCACGTTCTTTGTGAGTTTTGACAGCAATCATTATCTTAGTATTTACAAAAAGGGAGACAATGATTGAAAGTAACACAAAAAGAAACGTTAAGACAATGTCGTACAACTTGTTCGCGAAACGCAGATTTTCCCCACTCTTTGTGTGGTGCCATGCACTTCTGATTGCCGCCACAGCCACTGGGAGCAGCCAAACTCCACCTAAAATCGCGGTCACCCGCCTGTTGGTCATTTTCGCGCCATAATGAAGAGGATGGATTACTGCCAAATATCGGTCGTATGCGATTGCGCAGATGTTTAATGTTGATGCTAATAAAACACAGTCTTTCGTTGCTCTAAATAACCAGCAGTAATTCCCGAGGGGATATCTACAGCCTCTGCTGCAAAATACGGCATAGAATGGAACAACGCCTATCGCCATTAACACGTCCAAACATGCTAAACTGATAAGAAATACATTCATGTAACTCTGACGAAGTCGCTTTGATGAAAGAAAGACCACGCAAGTGAAGCTGTTTCCAAGAAGAATGATGGCCCCGATTAAAGAGTTCAGTATCCAAAATATGACCTCAGTTGTTTTGTGACAATAATTAACGTTTGAGGTGATGTTAGTAGCATCCGCTTTATCCTCGAAGTCAAAGAAATCATCTAGCTCAGTGTTATTTGAAAAGGAACCTTCCATCAGTGACTAACAATACAAGGAAGGAATGACCTGACTCTAATTTTCGAACATTAACCTGAAGTACGTAGTCTTCCAAAATTTATCGACTGTAAGAGAGCAGCACACGATACTTATCGTGACCACAACACCAATGAAAGATGTTATAAAATATTTGCTTTGGATGATTTTTGCACTATTTGTACAGAATAGCGCATTATTGGCTAAGGGGTGACGTGTTTTAGCCTTTCATGTCATTCTATTGCTCGACAAATAAGTCAGTTTTTCATTAGTTCCAATGATGAATAATCTCAATGTGACAGGAAAGACACGTAGTCGTGATCAATGCGAAGAAGATAATTTAACGGTAACCAGGAACAGATCCTCAATAGACTTTTATCTACTATTCGTTGTACCAGACTTTTTTTGTTTCGCCTGTGAATTTTTTTCAAAACGATCTTGAGCCTGATCCTCTTCTTTTAATTGTTCAGCATTCCCATCATTCCTCCAACCATGTCGGCAGTCGGATGTCATGGCTACGAGATATGACGTCATAGGAAATAAAAGGTGGAGCTATTTTTTAGGAGTGATTGTTTTTTTGTGTGCGTGTGTGCACCTTTTCTTACTACAGGGAAGTAAAGTAGAGTTCATTACACGAAGGCTATTAATCTTTCCATCAGATCATAACAGAAAAAGAATGACTGGTCGACATATAATGCTTTCAATAAAACCGGCCTTAGCCAAAGCGACATAAAACCCTTGAATAGTTTTGTTTCATGGTTGCCGCGAATGTCGACTTAGGCGATTTTATTGTCTAGTCGGTGAAAGTAGATAGATAAGAAGATAGTCGTCTTCTAACTCGTTTTGCCCCCACCTTTCCCTAATACGTGCCGGTCTAATTGTGAGGAAAATAATTTAGCTTTCTTTGATCAACAAGAATTAGTACGTGCACGACAATATAGAAACTTGATGGTTGTAAACATTTGAAGACGAAAAAAAAAATTTATAGCCCACGAATTTCCTTTCTGTCCGTTTATTTTCCCGTTCATATACAATCTTTCAAAATCCATTGTCGTTTGTCTCTAAAATTGATTGGTAAACAAATTTAATTGACGGTACTGGCTTTAGCGTTACTTCATAGTTCAGCTGATAAAAGCACGTTTTAACTGATTCTTGGAGTATTTTTGTGAGACACGTACTGAAACTGAAGAGCCACATTATTGTAATAAAAAAATATTGCTACAATAAAAGATTGAAAGCATTTTTATTTACGTATATTCAACTCTAAAATGGCCATCGAACGCTGAACTATTTGAAAATTAATACACATCAAGGTGACTCCAAAAAATTTATTTCAAAATATTCACCGCTCTTCCAACATTAGCAGTTTCTTCAAACTTTTCTTATTGATCACAGAATCATCTACCTACATTTTCCGTCTTCATAAATATTTACAATAAATATAACCACCTTTTCCTAGGTTTTTTTATTAGTTTACATCATGATGGTTAAACTGTAAAGTTAATACATTATCGATGTCCAGTTTCAAAATTATTTACACAGAACTGAACTTTTATTAAAATACTGGGCAGGAAGGGGACAATTTTAAATGACGTCACTTGTCAGCGCATATTACGCGCGCTGTGATTGGTTGTTGTCCATGATCTACTATAGTACAGACACACAGATGACGTCACGGGAAACTCCTTTTCTTTGTTTTGTCTGACATGGCGCGATGTTTGGAAAGTGTTTGTGACATTATTCTGTTTTAATCAAGTGAAATTAACGACGATTTGAAAATGCTTTAAATGGAAGAAATCTTCAAACCAGTTACCATAGTGTGTCATCGCCACAAGAATGGAAGAAATCTTCAAACCAGTTACCATCGTGTGTCATCGCCACGAGAGAGCCCGCGGCTTTAAAACTGCTTACACGATTATTCTGCTTGTAGCAAGTAATTGGCATTGGTAAACGTAGGCGTTTAGTCTAAAGGATTGCTCAAGCCACCTAATTTTCCACCCTCCCCCCCTCCCCCCCTGCCCTCTGCCCCCTGGCAAATTTTATTAAGCAAACAAAGATATTACTGCATTCTCACTTTGACAGCATTTCTTGTAACCATGCCAACCGGTTGTTAACAAAATAATCTTCAGTACGACTTTATTTTTGCTCTCGTTCCAACTGTGGCAACGAACTCCCGCAGAGTGGAAACGATTGCTACACAGGCTAATTTAGCAAAAACGTCCAACGAGGAAAATCGGAGCAGCCGAATTTTGATGAAAACATTTCACTTGTATCCCACTAATATCCTTAGATTACAATTGACCTAAAAACAGCGTGATACATCCTCGGAGACCCAGGGTCAGATAGTGGGGGCGAGGGAAAGTCTAAACGGGTGGGAAAATGTAGCACGAAGAAAAGTAAAGAACGGCGAGAAGAGCCCCTGGGGACAATGTCTTACCAGACCAGTTCCAAACGGTCGCCGCCGTCCTGGCTTCTGATTGGTTCCAGAAAACTTTTGTGTTTTCCGTACCCTGTTAGATTAATTAAGGAGTGTTTTTTGATTGCGTGCCCGATATATAGGACCTACTGTTATCGAAATCAGCTCCGCAAACCAAATAATTGAAAAACAGTTATTCATTGAATGGATGTGACCGGAAATGGTAAAATTGTTAAACAATTAGCCTGCTTAGCAGGTGTCGAAACGGGTAGGGGACAGGAGGAAGGGAAAAAGGAGGGGGAATGGGGAGAGAGGGTAAGGGACTCCCTTCCCTTTTCCCCTCTTTCGCGCTTTTCTCCCTTCCCCTACCCTTTTCGCGCCTGCCACGCAGGATATTAAACAATAGAAAATGCAAGCAATGTAAATTTTAGCCTTGATCTAGTTTACTCTTACCCAGTTTGATTTATGCTTAAAATTAAGAGGATGTTTTTTAAGTGGTTACAGTATGATAAGTTAACTAAGGGATACTTTATTGGGATGTATGTCAGGTATCACGAATATTCACTTATTATAAGTTAATCACAACACCTTTACAAGTTCGACGTATAAAATATTCATCAACATAAACCTTCTCCTTTCATGAATTCGTTCTTAAACAAATATGTTCTATTTTGGTACAATTTCGCGACTTCCACGACAACCCTTTTATCGTAAAAGAACGTTTGATGCAACGTTTCAGACATAATATCATAGGTGACGAATTACTCCTTAATTTTGGCGCGAAATTTCAGCGTTAATTTTTAATTTCACATGTGAAATTACAAAATTGCCATGGCGACCCCCCGTATGTCTCAGTGTAAAGATGGCGACGAAGTTTTAAAATGCCGTGAATGAAGATGTCAGGGCACAAAAAGACGCTTTAGAAAACCTGAACACACAAGAGAACATCAAGAAGGATTCTAACAGGTATTTTGCCGAAAAAGTCTGAAAATTCTGAACTTTCTAAGCCAAATTTAAGGTCTAAACATTTGAGAGAGTGGAGCTCTCGATCGATACGATCCAGGATAAACATGTCAAAAATCCAAGATTGCTAACACAATTCGTCACCCATGATATTAATAGGTAATCAAATGGTATACTAGTGACATTAGGGAATAATTTAACTTGCGTTTTGTCCAAATCCTAATAATTTCCCGAGCCTTTAGAAATTATTAGGATTTGGACAAAACGCGCGTGAAATTATTCCCTAATTTCACTCGTCACTGATTTGATTACACATACTAACCGCCTTAGCTTAGACCGATCGCAAGGATTATTACATATTGTAGTTCGTGCAAAGTTAGGAGAACCCTTTCACAGCTTTTTGATGAGAATTTGCTTGTTTGTTACAAAATTCCAGTTTTTTTTCCTGTATTCAATGGAGCTTCTCTCCTCCGAAAATTATCAGAACAGAACTGAGTTAAATTCCATGCCAGGGCCGAAATTTCAGCATTGTGCTGCATTGTGGGATTGCTGTCGAACCTCCTCTGATTCAATGCAAGGCTTTCTGATTGGTTAATAATAAACATCGACATTCACAGAGAGCCAATCAAGTGTGACCTCCCAATGGCGCAAAAGCTTGGTTACACTGAAGAGTTGCGAGCAAAATTGCACTCAAAATCTACAAAAAAAAAAACGTAGATCTAAAAAAAAAAAGTAGCTATACCGCTCAGGTTATGCTAATTTCTGACGAATTCAACGGCCAACCTCCATTAAGCGGTCACTTGCCGTCACCCCAATGGTGGCCTCTTGATGGCAGTTCTGAACTTATTCAATTATTTACCCCCTTTAAAAATTCTGTAAAAAAAATATTACTCATTACAAGATATTTTCCTGCTTAGGAATAACAATGCAATAATTTCAATAATTCGAGGATCTGTATATTCAGTTTCACTGGAAGATGGTGCATTTCCATCTTGTGAGATGTTTTTATCTTTGTTCTAAAAAGCAAAACTCATTAGTTTCTAGAAGTGCAGTATATTACTTTGGAACTAATAAAAGAGTAAACATAAATATCATTGGTCAGCTGATACATGTGAAATAAATGCATTTTATCAGATTACAAAATAATGAGTTTTAATTTTACTGTCACTCGGGCAAGAGACCAAGTAATGCCAACACTCGAGTGGATTTCTGTTGTATTGCAATCGGAGCAATAATGTTTGCTTAGGGGTGAGACTTTGACAGCTCCCCAAGTTACCGTAAGGGTATAAGCATACATTGTGTTACTGATTAAACACTAAATCATTGGATAATGCAATTCTAGAGCTCTGATTGGCTTAGCCATCATGGTATATGATATGATCAGTAGCCAATGCGCAATGCGCCTCGTTGGCTATCTACCATCTCATATCCAACAATTGTTAATTGTGTTTTATAATTTTTTAGGGAGATTTATTTGATATGAACGAATGATATTTGTAACTGGCCTGCCAGAATACCTTTTGAACGCTAACCTTTCGGGCAACAACTCCTTTGGCAAAGCTTTTGTTCTTTATTGGAGTCATATCACTCAAAAGCACCCATACTGCCGAATAAATTTCTTTTAGAGTGAAATTAAATTCAAACCTGGAGGCCTCTCTCCAGTATTCCGAAATAAGAAGCTGAATTAAACTATTAAAAGATCAATTTTCTATCAAGAGGGGGAAAACTTTAAAAGGTTCTTTTTGTTACAGAATATGCAATTAAGGATGAAAAGACCACTTGGATGAAAAAGTGTTTCAATGTCTATATTTCAGTGCAAATGCAAATTAGGTGTCCTATAGTGAATTCTGTAAAATAGTTATAAATTATGAAATAGCTGTTTTTAAGAAACCTAGCAAATTGTCATTTTCTTTGAGATACAGGATTACAAAACAAACACCCTTGTTATACAGTAAAAAGGGCTAGGTCATTTGGCGCAACTGGCAGTTCTAATTTAAAAAAAAGTGAATTAACGTCTTTGCCTTCAAGGTCATAGGCTTTTTGTTTTTAATCTTAACTCTAAGTAATAGTTAAAAGTAAATAAATTGGCTCAACACGATGCATAAAACTTTAAAGACGGAAACGAATCCTTTCTGTGACAAACAATGGCTATGCAAATTTTTTGAAAGTAGTGTCATTTGGCCTTTCGTTGGAAACTTCACACGTCGTGTGCCTATAACCAGATCAGAACATGGCAAGACTCCAGATTCTGACAGAATCTTAAAGAGAAATCAAGACACAATTCTACGGCAAAATGGACTACAAACGTTATCTGTTTATTATGAAGAAATTGTCAGACTCAAAGTGCAGGTAAACTGAATTATATTTTTGCGTCAAGCTTGCGAAAATGGCACATGTGTCGGCCAAAGAAAAAACGGTGCTAATTATGTTAATAAGAAAAGGAATTCTTGAACGATATTCGTCTCTCAAGGCGTCATTGATGCACCTGGCACAGTATTTTAAACAAATAAGAATGAAAAATCATATGATTCGATCATTACGAACATCATGGATCAGTACTAACGACCAGACGAAACAAGAGCATTGAGAATCTAACAGAAAAGATGACAATCGAGGGCGCAAATCAAACGTCTTGGCCCACCAATATCACAGAAATAGGAAACTGTGACAAAAAATTGAAGTAAATATTCTGGATCGTCAACGGAATTCTTGCTGTTATTGTTTTAACAGGAAATGTGTTCATTTGCGTGATTTTCCTTTCAACCAAGCGACTCCGACAACAACATATGAACATCTTCCTTGTTAGCCTAGCAGTCAGTGATATTCTGATGGCACTGGTGGTGGTTCCAGGTTACACGGCAGTATGTGCTGGTTGTAAGTACCTTTCGTCTGACACATGTTGGATTTTGGCCCAGACCAAAGACATCGTATTCAGCTCCACGTTTTGCAGCTTACTTGCTATTACATACGACAGGTATTTAGCAGTGTTGTGTCCCTTACAGTATAGCGCCAAGATGACCCGACGAAAAGTGACTGGCATAATAGTCTTTATTTGGGTTTTTCCAGTCCTTGTTGCTATCGCACGTAATATCTGGTGGCAGACGCAGTCAGAAGAGAAAGCAAAGGAGATAAATAAGGTCTACAATGCAATATTGGTATTTATTCTGGTGGTGATACCCGCATTTATTATGACGTTTGTGAATGCGCTTATTTTCCGTGCCATTCGATCACAAAGAAGAAGGATTTTTCCCAGGATAGAACAGAGTTCAAGCATAAGTCAAGGCGAGATGTGTAACGTGGAAAAACGTACAGAAAACTCGCAGAAACGAAAAGGTACAATTGCCTGCGTGGTTGTTGTGCTTGTGTTTGTGTTTTCCTGGATACCTCGCTCCATTTACAACTTCGCATACGTGTTTGGACGTGATGATCTCGTTACTCCACTTCTGGTTAACCTGTCAATGTTTTTCCTACTTTTACAGTCGTGCACCAATCCGATCATTTATTCCTTTTATCGGGCAGATTTTCGGCAGGCAGCTAAAAGGATTCTCTGGTGTACATAAAGATATTAGTGTGCCCGAGTAATAAATGACTCTCTACGTATTGAAGAGAGGAGGTTCGGACTCAAAACTGTTTCAAATAAAGGACGAACTGAAACCTTAAGAGCGGGTGCCCCCCTCCTTGCACTTATCAGTTCTGTGTTAAATCAAATTTTCAGCAAACTTTTGTCGTTCTATATAATTTGCAAATATAGCTGATAAAACATTGCTTTGTCTTTTTTTCAAGAGAGCAGGTATTTTAATGTTCAGTGGTGTAGCTCTAACGGGCAGTGACGGCCAACTCGAGGCCTATTCGATTCGATTTTGAGAATGGATTTTCCCTCTTCAAAAACAGAATTTGTATCCTATTTGGTTCATGCTTAGCGTGCGTTAATCGAGTTATGGTCGGCACGCGGGAAGTTTGAGGAGAACGAGAAAAGCGTAGTGCTCTAGGCGCAGCCGACAGCACTGAACTTTACCTTCTTCAGTGCTCATCACAATTCCCCGTGTTGACTTTCAGCTAGCGGCTAATAACTCGGAGAAATAACCGATTATTTCCTGTTGCATGCAAAGTAAAGCGAAAAAGTGACACTTCAACAACAGCAGTAGGTTTTCTTTCAAACTATGACATATGCAAAGTTATACACAAGCAATTAGCAATAGGCTCTAAAAGGCAAAAGTTGAAGTTGAAGTATCGAGACAAAGCGAAAACGGTTGCTTTACGGTAGATATTGACATGAAAAATAGTTAATAGTTAAATTACTTTTAGATTAGATTGTAGACTATTTTATTGTTATAATTATTATTTATTTATTCATTTTTGTATATAATATTTTAACTTTATTAATGTAGTTTTATAGTGAATATTTATTGTAAATATTTTCAAATGTAACCGTAAGTTTATTAAATAGATTTTATTAAGTAGGTATCCCCGATTAGTAGGCTACTTGTGGCCAGCTAGAAGATTTTGACACGTTAATAAAGTTGTTCATTCATTCATTCATTTGTTCACCAAGTCCACTGAATACAATCCTCAAAATTTTTGAACTGAAGAAAAATTCAAACGGGTAGTTCGTTTACGAACACAGGGGCGGATCTAGGGGGAGGGTGCAGGGGGTGCGCACCCCCCCCCCCCCCCCGCTGCCCCCCGGGTTTTTTTTACAAACACGTTTTTTCTACAAAAAAAAAAAAAGGGTTTTTGTTGTTGTTGATAGGGAAGAAAAAAAGGGGCCCCCCCCCCACAAAAAAACCCGTGCTCCCCCCCCTGAAATCACCTGCGGTTTTCTAATACAACGTGTATTCTGCCAAAAAAAAAAAAATGTGGTTTATTGGTGTTGAAGTAGAGCAAGAGACGAGTGCACCCCCTCCAAAGAAAAATCCTGGGTCCGCCCCTGGAACATAAAATATCTTTTCCAATTTACTTTGTGGAAATGCAGTTTTTAATGTATTCGCCTTTTTTTGCTTTTCTATTGCGACTCAGACAATATTCCCACCTCGCAATTCGACACTTTCGTTACATGGAAGGATTTTGAATCCGGTAAATCGGCTTTTACTTTTCTCTCAAACTGTTCACTCATCTGTTCGCTTTTTCATCGCACGACGCCGAAACAACTCCTCCTCCCCTCTGCATCTCCTCACCCCTCCCCCGACATCTTCCCCAAGTTTTGCCAGAGTGGAGCTTGGGGACCAGAAAAAGAAAAACAAGATGGCGCCCTACGATGGTTAACATTTATGTTGAGCTACAAATGGAAAGCACGGATTCTGCAAGAAAGCAGCTTGGTTTTTCAGTTCAGTGACTTATTATTGTATTGATAACTTAGCTGTGATAAAAAGAACGTACTTTATTTTCAACAAGAAGGCTGAAGTCTATGTTTAAAACTTGCACTTCATGGAGAGTTTCTGAGAGTTTTGATCACAGTACAGGTGAGGCTTACAGTGCATACTTTAGAGCTATACGACAGTTAAACTACATGGTATTAGGTTAGTTCAAAATTAAATTAGATCCTTTCAGAATGGCTTGGATTAAGAGGGGTCAGCTAGTTAGGGAGGGGTGGGCAGTTAATATGTTTTGTGTTTACTTAATTTTAGATTATTTTTTGTTAGGTACCTAATAGTTGGTCACGTGATCAACTTTCAGTGAACACAAAAACAGTTCGCTTTTGAAAAATTTTGTTAGCACAAGCTGAAAGAGCAATAAACATTGGATAACCTGTAAAGTACCTAGTGCATTGGCTGCTGAAAATTAAAACTAAAAAGGCTTTGTATATATGAGGAGAACAATTCTTACCATCCAGTCATGCTTGAGCAGTTTTCCATTCAAATCCTTGTAAATTGTGAATTTGTTTAAAACCTGTTGTTAAATCTTTCCCTTATGCATTTAAGAAATTAAGATTTAATAAAACAGTTTTTAAAAAGGCATGATTATAAAATTGAAAAACTGGATCAAATTTTTCATCATATGCAATTTGCTATTTTTCTGAAGCAGGATGGGTGCTTCAACATAATTGTTCTTGGCCTCTAACATCAAAAGCAACATGTTATTGATATATTTTCTAAAAGATCTCAACACGGATGGAGTTCCAAAACTTAGCTCCAAACCCCGGGGAGGGGGGGGCACTCCCATATATTACCTATACGGGTATGTGTCGCCCAACGGGGTCGTGATTTTAAAGCTCCTGGTTTAGAAAGGGGTATCCATTTCAGAGGCGTTTTCTAGAACGGGGTATAATATTTCGAACGCATGAAAGCTCCAGTTTTGTAAGCAACCATTTGAAATTATTCAAGGACAGATTGCTTTTAAAAATAAGGCTCAATGCGTTACTGAAGCAAACTGTTATACTCTTGTTGCACCCTAGAACGGAGTATAAAAAATTGGCCCATTTCTAGAACGGGGTATCAATTTAAGGAGAATTTTTTTTTAGAACGGGGTGCCAATTTGGAGTCCTGGGCGGTACATACTCACCCAAAAAATACCCAAGTGCCCCCCCCCCGGGCTCCAAACCCAGCGAAAGAACTGTGTGTATATGTGTGCAGAGTCTGCGGTCAAAGTTAGCCATCATAGGCCCATATTGTAATAAATTATATCAAAACTAGTTTATCCTAAGTTGAGGAGACCTGACTCATTATTAAGCCTCGTGGTTTCTGTCAGGTCTCCTTGCCATTTACTTTTCTTTAATCCCATATTATCTCCATCTTGCATTGTAAAATGTTGTATGTAATGGCAAATAAAGAATGAATGAATGAATGGTTACTTTGATTCAGTCTTCATGTGTTAATGTGAACATTGCTGGAGGAAGAGAACCTAGACTTGTGTTTATGCTTTTCATCAGCTTTAATGAAAAGATTACTTTTTGTTAGTGGGAACAGTTAAACATGAGAGGTTGAACATTATTTGAAGGGACTGTTTCAAGGTATAACATATTTAAATGGAGGAATTTTGAAGGGGCAAATAATGGCACTGCATGTGCTCTGGATTCTGAAAAATACATCAACTGAAGGACTCGTTTTTGCTGCTCAAGGAGTTTGTAAAGGGGATTTAGCAGCTTGACCTCAAGCAGCCAAACCATGGGACAGGCACATGTAGAGTAGTATCAAAGAGCAATAAATTATATATACTTAATAGGCTGAGTAGTAATGGGATGAAGTGCCTAACATGGGCAAATGACTCCTCCAATAATTCTACTTATTTTTAGTGCTACACTGTTAATGTGGTATTCCCAGCTCAAATGACTGTCCGGTAAGACACCTAGACTGATTATTTCAAAACACCTTATGTTTTCAAGCTCATCAACTATATTTTATTGTCAAAGTGTACATGTTCCAACTTCTTAATTCTAAATCATTGATCTTCTCCACCTACAAAATGTTACCATACTTTATTCATGTTCATAAGGTGTTGATATGGATTGCAAGGATTGTTGAGACTTTTAGCAAAAAGTGACTATCATATTACCACCAGTTTATGGTTTATTTATTTTTTCAGGCAGAAAAAAGACAACAAATGAGGTGAGCTGGTTAGAGGGTAATAGAAATGGTCTGCATTCTTGATCGAGTCTGGATTTAGAGGACACGGCATCATAGTCCAGGAATTACAACTGGTTTCGTTTGTTTGCGGTCATTAATAATATGTAAGTGTATAAATTTGCTAATACTTACCCTTCTTCATTACAGTGACTTAGTTTTACAATTGAATGACCCAAGCCTGGGAGAACATTGAATGTGTGGGGTTCAGTTTTTTTGCTCAAGGGGTTTTCTCCTATGAGGAAGTGGACATTTGAGGCAGTTTATAATCACCCAACTGTTGTTCTAAAGCCACTTTTTAAACTAGGACCCGTTCATCATCTGATGACATTATCTAGTAACCGTAAAAATGTTTTGTGGGTTGGTTTTCACAAGCCGACTTAAAGCTGTTGTCAGATCACAAAACAAGTAACTTAACTAATAGATTTTAGAGATTTAATATTGCAGGCAGTATTTTGTAGTCTTTTTTTGTAAACATGTACAACGAATTTACTGTGAAACCAACAAACTGTGAACACTTGAAATATTCCAGGAATGTTTATTGTCTTTTGTAAAATAACTGAGATAGTATTGTATGCGATCGGATTGGTCAAAAACCTATGGTTTATTATACCGGTAAACCCATAGGAAAAGGCATCCGGACCACGAGCAATAAACAAAACCGGCTATTGATCTGCAAACAAAGATTTTAGAAAGGCTAAAAAACAGAACAAGTTACTCACTCAGTCCTTCTTAATATTAAAAAGCGTTGGTTTCCACATTTTATTGCAGAGCATCACAATTCGCTACTGCTATATAGCTTTAAAAGTTTAAAAGTACATGGCTGGAAACCAGGATACATTTCACGATGATGCCAAATTGCAGGAAAAGACAACAACAACTCTGTGAATTTCTGGTGTAGAAAGTCTCTAGGTAAACTTAACGATGTGCCAACCAGCAAAAAAATGGTAATATCAGTAATTTGGTAATATCGATGCCATAACTTACTTCAAACCACCCGACTT